AGAAACACCATCTGCTACACTTCCCCCGCCGGTGCCGCCGCTACCGCTTGCACCCGATTGATTTGGGTGCGGGGTCGGTTTTGGTGCTGAGTCTGGATTGAGAGGAGGGGGGTCATCGTTGACGCTACTGCCTCCATCGGGCACGGCATCGCCTGAACATTTGGTGAATGGGGAGACAGGGAAAGGGAAGGAAGAAGGATGTGATGAAACTGAACTTATGCAGCGGTGGTGGCACATGGTTGGTTGTCCACATGATCCGTCGATTGTGGTTGGCCATGTTGCGAACGGTGGGTCGCTGGTGCCACCCCGGGAAAAGACGCTCTCTCTGTCTCCCACAACACAACACGCACACACTGTGTGTGTGTCTGTCGACGTCTGTCGACATCTCTACCTGCCGCTACCTGCCGCGGCCGACCTATCGCCCCGTCGCTCTACCCTCCCTCATTCTCATTCGACGTTTGGTTTCTCTGTCTGCGTGTTCTCTTCGGAAATTGTTGATGTCTGTGTTTTGTGTGCTCTGTTGGATTTTGTGGTCGACATGCACTCAGGACACTACCGTCGTCTGTTACACTCCCTCAAGGCTGTACCTTCCTTGTTCTTGTCTGCCTCCTCCAGGAGTGTTGTGGCTGCTGGTGTCAGCCCCAGATCACTATCTGAGGTACTGCCGCACCTAATGGAGACACCTTGAGATGTGCCGTTACTACCAGGACATGTCGGCTGACCTGGGGACTTTGCATCCGAATCCTTAGCCTTCGTGTCTGTCGACGCCCCAGCTGTGCCTGCTGCCTGTCGTCCTGGGTCTGAACCTTGTCTTGGTGTCGATGGTCTACGTGGTGGTGGTGTTAGTGGTGGTCGTGCTGGTAATACTGGGGACGCCGGTGCTTGTGGTTGCGGCCCCGATCCTGTTGGTGATGACCCCGGTGTCCCTACTCCCTGCTCGCCTCCCGCCGTGGCATCTGTCCGGCCGAGGTGTGATGAATCTGTTGATGATGACACTGTGTTTTTGCCCTCCTGCGAGTTCGCGTGCTGCGTTGGAAGTGTCGAGGAGGATTCGTGCTGCTTCTGCTTGTCCGTGTCCTTGTCTGCCTTCTTATCAGCAGTCTTCACATCCTTGCCCTTGGTGTTGTCTGATGCTGTAGGGTAGATGGAAGAAAGATGGTCGAAAAGATGATAAAAAAAGGACACAAGTGGTACAGAAAGAAGGGTCCGGGACGGTGGGGTCAGCTAGCGGCCGGGTATGCGCCGGCTCGATGCAGTGGGTCGAGGTGCACTCGGTGAACTGGGTGACGCGGCAGCAAGCGAACAGTGACGTGGATTGCGTACTCGGTGAACTAGGTTGCGATGGTAGCAGTACAACTTTTATTTGTTGTCGCCGTCATCTCGTCTCCGCTTCCGTCCCGCTCCGTCCGTCATCTCGTCCGTCATCTCGTCCGTCATCTCGTCTCCGGTGCCGCGTGTCCGCTACCGATGCACACTCGTCATGGCCGCTAGACGCCAGCGAGGTCGTTTGCTGTGCTGTTGTTCCGCCGCGTGTGCGTGTTGTTGTGGCCGTCCATCCACATTCGTTCGGTACGTATTGGGCTGCATGTGCGTGTTCTTACCTTCCAGTTCTGTAATTTTATCTTGTACCTTTGTCTTCGCCTTTTCAAACGCCTGCTTTGCTTTTTCTACTATCTCCTTGTCCAGTCTCTTCTTTTCGTTCATGCCCTCTGTGGTCAAAATTGTCTCCATAGGATCCCCTTTCGTTGCAGCCTTATGAATATACTGGTCCCAATACTGCGCACAGGGCATTGTCCCTTCTAGTTTTTTTATTTCTTCTATTATTCCTCCATCATACATTAACCACTGGGCTATTTCCAAATTTACTGCTTGCACATTGTGCTTATGGCCCTCGTATCCACACATGGTGCATCTGCCCTCCACAACGGGACCCGGGATCCCTGCCGTGTGTCCTGGTTTGGTGTCACCCATTCGTTGCATTGCTTTATATGCATACTCTACACCTCTATACCACGGTTGCGTACCTTGACAATACCGTGTTTTCAGTAAGTGCCCAAATACATGAGCCACTTCACATCTTAGTCTTTCTATCTCTTTCTTTTCGCCTTCACTCTTTTTCTCCCATTCTTCCTTATTGTTCCCCGCACCGTTCGCAAACCACAATGCGCCTGACATTATCCTGCATCGCATCACATCCGCCACTCTCTGACCCATCCTGGAATACTGATCCATATCATTCCAACCTTTATTATCACAGTTGGCGCCTTGCGCGTCAAAGAGCTCATTATTCTCTTGCACATATTTAATAAAGTCGTTCAACACGTTCTTAACCGGTTCCCATTGATCAGCCTATATTTTTTACATAAACATAAAGATACACTCATATTCACATTTTTCCTAGACCCTTCCTATCGCATGTAACCATACCCTCATATAACTATACACATCATGAATAAATTCCTCTTGCATCATTTATCTTCCCTGTTGGCTTTTTTCCTTTTCTCCTTACTGTAACTTACAGTATACTGATGTGCCACGTATATTTCCCTCTCTCTCCACTCCCACACTTTGTCGCCCTGACAATCGTCTGCTTGGGTCTCCTTTGCTTTAACACCATCAGTAGCTCCCGTTGTCTTCGTTTTCCCAGCGTTCGTTGCCACCGGTCCTGCCGGTTTCGCCGCTACTGGTTTGGCAGCGGTGCCGCCGTTGTTCGGCTTGGCCGGGGCGGGTTTGGCCGGGTCGTGTTTGGGGGCAGATCCCGCTCCATGGGATGTCGGTGTTGCTACTTTCGCTGTGCCTGGTGCATTAGGACCCGGCTTTGTCACTTTCGGAATTTTGGCTGGTGGATTGACTGTGTCCTTCACTTTCTGTACTCCCTCCTTTATCTTCTTCTCTATTTCACATTTCTCCTTGGATCCCCCATTGTTGTGTATGTCCTTTAACAACTTTGTCACCCGCGGATAGAGACCACCGTCTGTCCAGTGATTTATTCTCTTCATGAACTCAGAGTCCTTGGTTATCACCCCCGCCTGTGCGCTACATGCTTCTTCATTTTTCTGGTCTGCTTCCTGCTCCCTCCAAGCACACTTCTGCCCTGTGCCGTGTGTAGTTCCGGTGTTGCGTCCTGCCTGGCCTGCTGCCAAACCGCTCTTCCATTCGTCCAGCTTAGTCTTTATGCTTGGTCCAATACCACGTAATCCGAATATAACCGGCCCATAGTTCCTGTCCTCACATACCCCTGGCTCATATTGCTGTTTCCCTGATTTATCCGTGTTCCGCATGTGTTGCTCAACGTTCTCTATTATTTCCCTATGGTCTTCAGTGTTCCCATACAGCTGTAGTAAAACCTCAGTGCCCAGTGTACACCGTAAATATTCCGTAAACGGCGCGCGCCTTCTGTCATCCACCCGTCTTTTTGTCCATGCACGATTCTTATAACTATATCCCTTTATGTACAGCATAAGCTTTGCAATTTCCATACACCTGCTTTTGCATGTAGCCACATTTGTTTCCGCTCCGTCATATATAATTCCACAAATACCAGCGTTCGGGCCGCTGCGTTTGGTGATTATCTTTGTTACTTCGTTGAAGATAATGTTAACCTCACTCATTAATTTTTTCTGCGGGTGGTAGAATCCATGTATGCTTGTAAATTCTTTCTTTTCCCTTTTCTCTTAAATGCATCTACATGTTACCACACGTCGTTCCAGATTTATGCAGTGTGCGTGCGCTCAAACTTTCCTGAACATGCCTCCCGTACTTTACGACAGTTATACAAATAGTCTACACACACATACAGGTTCCAATTGCCCATGTATATATATTGCTGTCCAAACTGCACCATTGTTCATCATGCGGAATGTTGTTTAAAATTGAACTTACCCAATAACCGTTGCCGTCCTGGATGCCCCATCTCAGTAGAAAATAATGCCATGCCCGTAGAAAGTTCCTTATGTCTGCATCATAGTCGTTACCCATATTGAACACACTCTATTCCCGTGCTTAAAAAAAAAAGTACGACTACAACAACAACTACTACTACGACTACTACTAATAATAATAATACTAATACTACTACTACCACACAGCGCTCAGTAACCACAACAACAAAAAAAAACAAAATACACACACACCCCGTTCTCCGTCAACGGCTCTCTCGTCAACGCTTCTCCGTCTACGCCTCTCCGTCAACCAAGTCTCCGTCTACGCCTCTCCGTCAACCAAGTCTCCGTCTACGCCTCTCCGTCAACCAAGTCTCCGTCAACGGTTCTCCGTTAACACTTCCTCCGTCACCCCGTCTCCGTCAACGCTTCTCCGTCAACGCCTCTCCCTCACCCCGTCTCCGTCAACGCCGCTCGCGTCAACGCTTCTC